AAACGGGAATAACTATCTAGTAGTTCACCTACTTTCCGTTGGTGGCTTCAGTTTGTCTCCTGCGCATCCTTAAACGTACGTACAAGAACGTATACTTATACAGGGTGTCCCAAAAATGTTGTAACAACTTGAAAGAGGTGGTTTGGGAAGTGATTTGAAACAACTTTTTCCTTTAGCGAAAATGTTGTCCGTGGCTTCGTTGAGGAGATTTTAACGGGAAACACTAACCAATCAGAACGCGATTATGCCAATGGAGCGTAAGCTACGCGCTAAGCGGCTGCGCTCATACGCTACCGTGAGCGCTCCATCAGCATACTCGCGTTCTGATTGGTCAGTGTTTTCCGTTAATATCTCCTCAACGAAGCCTCGTACATTTTTGCTAAGAAAAAAGTTCAAATCACGTCCCGAACTACCCCTTTCAAGGTATTACAACATTTTTGGGACACTCTGTATATATAGTTGCGTTAATTATGTAGTTTGGCTTTTAATAGCTATTTTTAACGTAAGTGTAAGTAACATTTTCGGAAATAAGATGTTCAAATTTGGATTTTCAAAACATGAGGAAACCGAAGGTATTTTCGTATCTTTTACTTGTATCCAATCAATAGAAACAATATGTTACGAGTCAAGTTTTGAGGTTATAGTATGCCACATTGCTTTATACGCATCTGCGACATTTGAATTTGCTTGTTCAAATTTATAATAGACCTTTCTTACTATTAAAAAAAACTTTATATTTTTAAAGGTAAAATCATACGAATTTAAATTAGAGGAATTATTTCAGAAAACGATACCAATAGTAAAAAATCAACGATTAATTGGATACCCGCTTCGAAAGTTGAGGTATCGGAATCGCGAGTAAAAAAAGAATACGAACCGAACGATTTCTCGGAAAATGTTATATTTCCTGGTTATAAATTAAAGTTAATTCGATCCGAGAGAGCTTTATCCAAATTAAAACAAGAAAATTGTATAAATATTATAGAGGCGGAGTCACAGCATTCCGACCTTCTCCCAGCCAAATACGAAGGTATTTAGTATATAATTACTTTCTTCATAATAGGGTGCTTTCCAATTACTTAACAAATCTTGACACATATGCACACAGAAATGCATGAAGTATAGCGTTGCCCGCGACTCAGTTGGATCAAACTAAAGTAGGACTAGGATTATTTTTCATACTATACTATTTATACCAGTAACATGGTATTTTTTAATTCATGATAGAAATGTCTATCATTGCAATGTTGCAGTTCCTGATTTGTGTTTTTCGTACTTCCTTAGTTTTCACCCTCGTAAAAAGGCAAACATTGTATTTAGAAAAAGATCTGCATATTTCACTAAATAAAAAAGAAAATATACGTACATGATATAAATAATATATTAATAGTTGTTTATAAGATTTCGTACTGAAACCTAACTACATTATTTAATAATTTGTGCCTCTCAGATATAACATTAAAAATAACACATAATGTATCATAATCCAACATGGAAGATAATATATAGTACAAATCTCTGCTACAAATTTTGAAAACTCAAATGTTAGCTAATAGAATATGATTATTTTATAATGTTAATAACTTTCAACTATGTGTCACTAGAAAACACAAGTTTGCAAAGCTGACTAATAGCTCTCGAGTTGAATACAGATGTGTAGCATTGCGTCAACCTTTAAGGCAATTGAAACACAACTTGTGTCATTATTTGTTTGAAAGTATCTAGGGATTTCGCAATTGGAAAGCACTCACAATGGTAATTTCAGTTGTTATTGAACAGAAATTTATGTGAGCAACATTCACGATTTAAAAAAAGTTGCTTCGTCATTAACAGCAATATGAGACACATAAATCATAGGAATTCCTGTATCAAGGTGGTTTAAAAGTCTGGGAATGCAGTTACGACCTAAGTCATTACATTCTCGAAAATTGTATTGAATTACAAGACAAAGTTGTTTTGGATTTGGGATGCGGTGCTGGTATCATTGGTTTGATTGCTCTTCTAAGAAGTTCCATTGTTCATTTTCAAGATTATGTTCGTGTCAATAAGTTTACATTGTTTAGATGATCTATACAAAATTATGACTATTAAATTGTTTTGCAGAATGTAGAAGTGATCAAGACTGTAACAGTTCCAAATGTTTTACTAAATTTCGAAGATTGTAGAAATGTATTAAAGAGGTGTGAATTTTTTTGCGGTGACTGGGATACGTTTACGAGACTTAATGACTCAGATCATAAGAACGAGGTTACAAAATATGATTTAATTTTTACAAGTGAAACGATTTATAACCCAGACAATCATAGGAAGCTTTACGAAGTTTTTAAACAAAAATTAAAACAAGATGGTATTGGGCAAGTATCATAATGACTTAAAATTGGATCAGGTTTTTATAAGTTTGAGATCATGTTTCATGGTATCTTTAGGTTCATTGCTGGTAAAACTTACTATTTTGGTGTTGGGGGAGGAATGAGACAATTTCAAACTCTCATAGAAGAAGACGGATATTTTGATGTCGATATAGTGTGGAAAAGCCGAGAAGGTAATTAATTATTGACGACGATTAATTGACTACAATATAGCAGACTACTGTCTCACAAGGGAAGGTCGCGATCCGGACGAGCGCTTTTTGAACAAGACCAGGCTCAAATGATGGGGGCTGATGGGCAAAAAAGAGTGCAAAACATTAGAGGTATCTGGCCAGCCATTTTTATAAAAAATGGCTTTAAACATTTACAGGTCACTAGATATACGAAAACATTCAAATTCTTAGCAGAAGCTGTTGTAGCTGCGAGCGTTACGCCGCAGGTTCATGTTCTAAAGGTTGTGGGTTGGAGACTCTGCAATGGAAATTTTTTTTTTCCAACTGCATTTCTATTTCTTATTCCTTTTTTTACTCACTGCTACATAAATAATATTTAAGAATTATAATACTCACTGCTATATAAATAATGTATAAGAATTATAAAGTATAGGATGTTGCTACAATTTGTAATAACACGTTTTTTATTAATTAACTTATTTTTTATGAATAATAAGTGTGGATAAAGCGTTTATTAAAATAAAATTCGTTTTTTAATAATGATGTATTTGGCTACTGAATATATATGTGCGCAGAAATTGCAAATAATATAGATGTGAACATAATATTATAATGTGTACATGCAATACATAATACAATAGTAGTAATCATCCCATGTATGGGATGTGGCGTATTTATCATTAATAAATTATTATCAATATTATTATTATTATTAATATTATTATTAATAAAAAACGTATTATTAAAAATTGTAGTCAACATCCTATACTTTATAATTCTTATATATTATTTATATAGCAGTAAGTAAAAAAAGGAATAAGAAATAGAAATAAAGAAGTAGACAAAAAAAATTTTCTATTACTGAGAGTCTTGTACCCACGAACTTTAGAATATGAACCTGCGGCGTAACGCTCGCAGCTACAACAGCTTCTGCTAAGAATTTGAATGTTTTCGTATATCTAGTGACCTGTAAATGTTTAAAGCCATTTTTTATAAAAATGGCTGGCCAGATACCTCTAATGTTTTGCACTCTTTTTTGCCCATCAGCCCCCATCATTTGAGCCCGGTCTCGTTCAAAAAGCGCTCGTCCGGATCGCGATCTTCCATTGTCAGTGGTCTTAGTCTCTTTTGTACATGTTGTAAACATATATTCTAACATTGTTTAGAACAAACAACAATTGTATATATTTATATTTCAGGATTACAACGAGAAATACTAAAAATTTCGAAGAAACAATGTTTGTAGATCTAACCCATACCTGCCCATATTTCTTATGTATCTGACAAATACATATTATGCCTTTTTATTTGTGTAGGATAAATAATTCTGACTGTTTATTAATATCTATGGAGATAATCTTTCATAAATCCATCCGTTGTCTCCTTGATGGATGAGAATGTTATCAACTTTTTCATTAGGTTTAGGCCGTCTAAAACGTATTCTGTCATGTAAACGATCGCTTTGGCCTTGCCAAAATTCCACAGAATGTGGAATGACGTTATAACCACCCCTAAAAAAAGATTATTAGTTTTTTAAACAGCTTACAATCGTAATATTTAAACAAAAGCTTTATGATATCTTTAATGATATTTCATTCAATTAATTACCAACAATCTGGCCTTTTAACTTGTCCTTCCGGAAATTGAGCTGTCAATTCCCTTTCTCTTACAATGAGTGTTTGTCTACTTGATATTATAGCACTTTGTTTACTGGCCATAGATCCTATCTGATTCGAGTATGGTCGGCTTTGAAAATAACGGTCTGAATCTTCTACTGACGTTTTCTCCACTTTGCCTTCTATGCGTACCTATATAATTTCATAACATGAATTGTACACTGTGATATCGAAAATAATTTTCAAATATTTAAATGAAAGAATTTGTAGAACGATAGATTCGCTTCAGTAAATCCAATCAAATTGGTTCTTTCCGTACCAATATCATCGATATTAATTATATCTTACACTTCGATTTAGAGGTTCCCAGTAAAAAGTTAGCGCTGCATTAGGATTCTCATCCTGAAAATTAATAAAAATATTAATATAAACTAAAAATATACAGGGTGGAGCGTTTAAATGGAAACACCAAAATATCTTCGCTATTTTTGGTTTTATAAAAAAAAATTTGTAGGGCAAAGTTACACTGTTTAAAGGAGCGCATGCAATGGTGGTACTTTTTTTTCTCAAGGTTATTTTTGAACGAGATTTCAAGGTCATCGGTATTTTTTTAAATGGGATGGGATATTTTTATTATTGTATCTTTGTAACTAATGAAAAGACAAATTCAATCATGTGTAATACATTGACCTTCAGATGACCTTGAAATGAGTTATTCTTATAAAATCATACTCTAACGTACACAGTCAACATACTTGTATAAGTTTGAATTTGTCTTTTGATAAGCTACAAGATTACAATAATGAAAATATCTCATTTCAGTTAAAAAAAAATGCTAATTTAAACAGTGTAACTTTGTCCCATAGACTTTTTTAATAAAACCAAAAATAACGGAGATATTTAGGTGTTGCATTTTAACATTCCACCCTGTATAATTCAAATTATAATTCATCAGTTGATTCTAATGCAGTTACATATAGTTTTATTAAAATTCGAGACATTTCCGTATTATATTCAGGCCTCGTTGTATTTATGAGTTTACAGTATATTTTACATTTACTATGCGTAAACTGTGCACTTACCAATTCGCGAGCCTTCCTGCTTTCGTAATTCGTATAAAATTTGAATCCATCTGTGCCAAAACTTTTGAGCAAAACAGCTCGTACCGAAGGAATTCCATTTCTGCAAGAAGAACATTTTTCTAAGCATTTTCAAGACATTCGATGATGACAACGAGTTATTTGCTATTACTTAGTAGCTGTTGCCAGGAACATAGCGTTCGGTTCGAAAATTTGCGGAATGTTACGGACTTCATCGAACCATGCTTTGAATTGACTGATAGGTTCTTTACTTTCGAGGCGGTCTTCGGTAAAAGTTTCACTTTTATCCTTATATTTAATTCGCATACCTTTGGAAAAAAATAAATATTAACGATTATTTAACTCTATTTAATTTGTAACTCTTTTTTTGTGATAACTAGTGCTGGAATCGTAAGTAGTAATGAAATCTAAAAAGAAAAAACGATACTTCTATAATCGATAGTTTATTAAAAGAAATTTTCAAACCAGTTCTTAGTGTTATTTACAGTGTTCTAGAATTTTTAATTTCGGATATAATTGGGAAGGACAAAAATCGCATAATATTAATTTATGTGGGATATGCTTAGAACAGTAGGTAAAGTAGGGAGCATTATATTCGTTGCAAACTTATATTTCTACAAGTTTAGTTAAAACTGCAAAAGTTTCATATCGTCATCAAAGTACTGTATCTTCTGACAAAAGTTTCAAGATGTGCATTTTTCGCATCAATTCGTCGCATCGTCGCAATGCTGTGTTTATACGTCTCGCGTTATCTTAATTCGCAATATCAATCATCGTTATTATCAATATACATATAGAAGTTATTGAACCAATACACTTACGAATCGCGACATCACTTGATATCACACGTAGACGTTCGATAACAGGTGTCTCGTTGTTGATTTCTTAGATATTGCCTTGATTTAAAGTTTTTACGTATTTCTTCAAGGTTTAGAAAATAAATCAAAATTGAGGTGTATATTCGTAATAATCATTTTTCCGTTAGGTCTTCTCAATGACTTGGCAGGTTTTGTGAATCAAACTTAACCGTGTTCAGCTTTGTAAAGAGGCGATATCGATTTCAACAAGAAAAGTATTCGTAAGAACAAAAATTTGTAATAATAATATTACCTCCAATGTCAACACTGTAGTCCACATCCTGGGTGGTAGTTTTGACAGATGACATGACAGGATAGAGTACTGTTCGATTGTTTGGCTAGGAAGCAGCTGAGATTTGACTGGAGTGTTTCATGCCATCAACACGAAATGTAATGGCGATGAAATTTGTCAGATTGGTAAATTTGTCAACTGATAAAAGTGAACACAATGCGTTCAATTAATCAATGTGCTACTTAAGTTATGCGTGTAACATAAATACGTTTTATGAACTCCGAGGTTATTTATATACTTTCTTTATTATGACTCTAACCCTATTTGGCAAAAGATGGCGCGTAATGTTGTTTGTTTGTTTATTAGATTAAAGTGCGTACATTCTTAGAAGTACTTCGCACTATTATGTGCTGCTCTCTTTTTACATTGTCTCTTCTAAACGTTTTACATAAATGCTTCTTAATCTCTATCCTCACTGGCTGATTTTATAATTATTATCCTTCTTATGACTAACCGCAATAATGAAAACAAAAACAAACAACTTTTTAATTTGTAAGTCGAGGTTGTCATACTCTTTCCTATACTTTGCTAATAAACTTTATGTAGGAACTGTAACTCGTATATTATATATATGTTTTCTTGTATAACAAACAAAAATAGTACTTTTTAAGATATATACTTTTTCCTTACAACCTAATAATCCTCAGTCTTCATAATGAGCTCTCTTTTTGTTTTAAATTTATAAATCAAATTTATTTTAAATGTACATATATAATACTTTATGTAGCTTATCCTACTCGTTTTTTTTTTTCTTGATGGGAACTTTTCTTATACTTTTAAGTTTTGGTTTCTCAAGTGTTCTTGCTTAACAAAATATTGTTTTTCTCCTTCTAACTCAATATATATCTATCATGTTTCCTTTATATTGCTTGGCAGTTTCTTGCTTTTTTTTTGATTATCTGATACTCTTCCTTTTCCATTTGTTGGTTCTTCTTGTAATATCTTGTTGATATCTTTTAAAAATGTGTTCAAGGTTTTATATACTTTAACCTTATGTAATTTTATTAACTCGATTGCTGACCTCTACTTTCTCAATTTCTTTTTGAAGTTTTGTCTACATTATGTTTCGTTCAACATTGTACAAACCACATTCAAATAAGACGTGGTCTATGTCTTCATCTTCCTGGCCACATGGACAAGTTGAATCTTCCACTATCCCTTTCCATGCAAGCGATGCTCTTAGATTATAGTGATTACACCTGATCCTTGAAATCATCCTTACTGTTGATCTGTCTAATTTATTTTTGTATTTTATAAACCAAGGTTTATATCTTGCTCTCTTGTGATTTGGTCCTATTTCTCTCATAAAGAGAGCTTCCTTCTCTCTTCCTATTTCCATTCCCTTTTCTTTGAACTTATTCCAAAATTCTTCTTTTAGATCTACTAAAATATCTTTTGCTGGGACTTTGTATTGTGTATCATGGACCCTTTCAGTTTGCCTTTTTGCTTTTTGCTCTGCTAGTTCGTTTCCTATGATATTAATGTGCCTCGGAATCCGTCCTATTATTAATTTTCTAGTGTTTTTCCTATTTGCTAACTTCCACGTTTTGTATGTCCATGGATTGTCAACGATTTCTTTGAAATTCTCATTAATATTTTGCAATGCTGTAATAGAGAACATTGAGACTGTAAGAATTATGTAGTTTTCGTATTCTTCATCATTTATACATTTATGTACAGCTTTGTGTATCCCTATCATTTCTGTAGTGAATATGGAAAATTTACCTGATATTGCTATTCCTTCTATTGTTCTTTCTCCATTTTTAACTACAACTAATCCTATTCTGTTAGATTGTGAAGTGGGAATCTTACTTCCATCCGAATATATTATCACAGTATTTGCTTCTTGTATTTCATGAATATGTCTAAATATGTCTATAATCCGTGATTTCGGAATCGAGTCTTGTGGAAATAATCTCCCCGTCTTTTGATAGAAGATTAGTTTGTTTTCTATTCTTTCTCCCATACAGTTTCTAACAAGTAATTCGTCTTTCCTTTACCACTTTCTTTAAAATGCTTCTTCTGAAACAGTGGTTGCGATGTTTAGTTTACTCCTTCTGTGTCTGTTGGAAGGAAATTGAGAAGTTTCATATATGTTCATAAAAGTTTCAAGGGTGGAGTTGTTTTCTTTACCTTTTTTCATCTGCGTAATCCAGTATTTACTGGCTAAATAATCGATCCCTGTCCATCCTCCTTCGGTATATATTACGTTAAGGGGTGTTGTCATTCGATATCCTATTGCTGCCCTGATAGCCTTTGTTTCTATTTTTCTGATTCTTTCTTGCTTGCATCCATTCATGTAGACTGCTGCGCCGTATTCTATGACTGATGTTAATAAGGCTCTAGCCATCATCAATGCTTGGTTCTGTAGAATTCCTTTTTCTCCATGACACAGAAATCTGATTATGTTCAGCCTTTTCTTGATTTTCTTTTCCACTTCGTCAAAATGATCTTTAAAATTTAGGTTGTTATCTATTAATATTCTTAAGAATTTTGCTTTTGATTCAATATTAAATTCAGTTACCTCATTGTCTTTTTCCGCTTTGATTTTATTATCATTAGATTGTTTTTCAAAAAAACAGTATTTTAGATTTTTCTTTTGAAATTTCTAATTTCCTTGTATTTATGAATTCTCCTAAATTTTTCAGATCTTCCTCTAGGTTTTTAACTGTTTGTTCTATTTTTCTGTTCTGAGTGATTATTGCTATATCGTCTGCATACCGCGCAATGTTGTAAGGTGTTAAAAAACAAAATTTCTGTAATTTCTATTTCCCTTACAAAATTAATGTTCGCATGGTTACATCGATACACCAAGTCGGCGTGGTTTTTATCCCTTTGAATTGGTATTTTATTTTGTAAAATATGGTTAACAATCAGAAGTTTAACAAGTTTATCGTGTAATTTGTATTGAGAAAATAGTTGCTACGCCATTGTATTGTATCGTATCATATCGCAAGTACAGATAGCAGATTTCAGTTACGTAATTAATATTTATCGTATCGACTTTTTCGATTCTGGTTCTGAGTTCTGATATGTTCCTGATTTATTCGATCACTTGCATATGTTTTACATACGTCAACTTTTCAAAATTAATTCCTGGCCAAATAATTACAGTTAAAACTGTCCAACTTTTACCTAAGTTATATTCCTTCTCGAATGCGAATTGGTTATTTTTAAAACCATACTAGTTATTCTTATAATCATGAAATTTGAATAAAATGAAATTTTTGAAAGTATTTGTAAGATATGATGTCCTTGGTGTTCAATTTTTCACCAATCTACAATGTTACAAGATTTATGAAAATTAAAATATATACTCAATACATAAGATATACAATATATTCTTTTGTTTACTATAATATTAAAATTGATTTTAAATAAAACATTTTCTACCATTAATTTTTAAATACTGTTCACGAAAATTAAGTTTTCTTAAGTAACAAATCAATATTTTTTTACATTGAAGACGAATAGAAATAAAGTATATTATGTCGAGGAAGATATATTTACAAATATTTATATAATATTTTATTCGAGTTTTGTGTTAATAATTGAACTACACGTTTTCACACAGTTGAGTCGGTAATTGATCATCGGAAGAGAGATTTTGCGAAGGTGAGGGAAGAATTTGATTATTTGTTATTTATACTTCATATTAAACAGAAAGAAAAAATAATGTTTAAATTTATTGACATAAAATTAAAATATGTGCATAAATTTGGTCAAGTGTATTTTAAGGAATAACATGTAACACCGTTGCTAGGTTAGAATATGTATTGGACATATAAATAATAGTACGAAATAACAAACTGTTTTTGACATTTAATTATTTACCTATGTATATTTGTTATTTAAAAATTGTTGTTGTGAAAGTGTTAAGAATTGAACTGTAATCTTTACTTAACCAACATATTAACTAATCAGAGGTTGCTGTCAAAATAAAGATTGATCTTTAATAGTTCTGAATAATCAGGTATATGTTACATTAATTGAACACAATATTTCTTAATTTTTAATTATTAAAATTTCGAATCACATTATCATGCAAGGTAAAATATTTGCTATGTTAATTTTATCTATTCAATGCGAGTAGAAAAATAATATAAAAAGTTAGAAACAAATAATTTATTTGGAAAAATAATGAGTATACATTTTTATACAATTTTCTTTAACCAATTGTCTAACTCTTTGATGTCCGCAGAAGTCTCAGAAACTTTGTTAAATGCACTACATTCTGCAAATTTAATATTTCTGTCTAAATGAGAAAATTCAAAATTTTTTCCTTGTTTACCAAGGAAGACATTTGTGGATGATGCATCCGTGGCTTCAAGCTGACTAGTCTTTGTCATACGTAACAAATTTATTTCTTTCTCAAGTAAAATTTTTATAACGACAGAACCTTTTGCCATTGTTTGATCTTGTTTGTTACACAATATAAGTACAGGTTTCTTTTGTATAGCAGAGTCGGACAGTAAGTTATACAAAAACCTGAAAATCAAAGTTTTTATCATTTCTGTTTCAGGATGTGATGACCTACCACTTGTATTTACTTACTCTGCTACATCACGAATGTCTGTCTGGAAAGTTACAGAATCAATTACATAGACAAGTCCTTTCGTAGATAACTTAAATCGATCAAAAAATTTGTAACGCAAGCGCTCGTGTCCAGGTATATCAACAATTTTGAATGTGCGCTAAATATATAAACGATTTTAAAGGCCCATACAATTGATATGTTCTTCTACGAGATGTATTTGTAAAAACTTACATTGTTAATCGTGATATCTCCTGTGTTCTCTTTCACAGATGTGTGCGTTTTAACAAATTTGGAACAAAGTAAATGTGCATATATCAATGTTTTACCAGCATCGCTGAGACCAGTCAGCAATATACTGTTTCCTATGGACTTTTTTCTGTGCCATATGGCAAGTAACACTGATCAAAAAGATATGGTAGAAATTTACAAATTATACAGTATTAGTTACGCTATCGACAACAAATAAACGGTACTTTAAAGTTAAATTCATGGACATTTAGATTACAGCCTAGGAAAGTTCTTGCCTAAAAATGTATCTATTTTTGTATTATATATACAATTATAATATTATGTTTGTTTCACTGCTTATATCTATTTTTGTACTATTTCACAATTACTGTAGGTACTATAACATACATTTGATTTAATTGAATAAACATAATGTTTATAAGACTCAATAAATGACTGTAAGAGACTGTTTATGAAATTTATGAATAATATTAATTCTTATATAATGTTGCAATTTTATATATAATTAAATGGTATTGTGTAGTTAAAGATGATACTGATACAAGCTGCATCGTAATCATTAAGAAGGGTAAAGCATGACTAATATTGTAAAAAGCAAAAGCAAGAATAAATTGCAATAAATCTACCAGAGATATTGCTGATAGAAGAGATCCCACAATGCCATTTCAGGAGTTAAAACGATTAGTAATATTTACACGTTGGTACACATGTGGCTTTGTATAGAAAATGTTTTTTGTTGTTTGAATGATGTTTAGGAATTTCATCTTGTACATCTGATTTACAAATATATAATCTATTTGTAGTTTTAATTGAATGTATATTCAGTTATACTTGCAATAGAAAAAAAAACTGTGACGTTATTTTGAACAATGTGATAATAAATAATCAGAAAATATATTTCTTGCGCAAACTACAAATTATCGTCACGTTTCATATTACTTTTAATACATGATAATTGCCGATCTTGATATTAAACGTCAAACATAAGGTTTTCATAACCTAGAAACTCTATGTTTAATTACCTATGGTTATGATAATCACAACTACAGCAGCTAATATGCCCATAAATTGAGAATCCACAGCGTGATCTGTTAATGGTTTTATATGATTTTCCATTATGGCTGCTTGATTGTATTATTTACAGATTAAATCATGGACATATGCCGATTCCCTCAAAATCTCGTCAACAATTCCATACATATTAAGGATGCGCAGGAGACAAACTGAAGCCACCAACGGAAAGTAGGTGAACTACTAGATAAAGTAAATCTATCGTCTCGTCAAGCGTTTTTTGGAAAAAATTGAAAAAAAAAATTTCCTGCCTTTCAACGTATTTTTGGCATGTTTCAAAAGCGAAATTACAAAATGTGTAACTATCCCCCGCAACGGAATTTTATAAGGAACAGTTTAAAAAAGAATCAGCCGGAAAGGTCGCTTCCTCGCCTCATAAAATTACATTGGTGTTGTCGTTATGAAATCAAGAAGACTGATGCGCTTGCACAATGGCTTGAGTTTCAAGCTCTCCACCACAACACACCACAGCGCTAGTGTCGTCTCTTCTGCTGCTGGTGTACCGATAATCTACAAATGCCTTTTAGCATGGTTCAGTACCGTACTAAGAGTATGAAGTGCCCGAGTTTATATATTTTACTTTTGCATATGTATATATATTCAATATTATATTGTTAAGAAACGTCATGTATATGTTAAGGTTGTTTATATTGCATTGCAATTAATTGATACAGAATAGTCTGTTACGATAATCCAAAGAAGTAAATAATAAAAAACTGATATGATATATTTATAATATGGTACGAAAATAATAAAGTACTAATTTGTGAAATGTAATGATAGTATGCAATATAAAAAATATTGTATAATAAAAAAGGTAAAACGTTTAAGAACATTATTTTTGAGTATACGTAATTACATAAGAAAAAGCACACTAACAAAGCAACGATACCCTATGGGGGTCGTAGTACTGCAAAACCATTTTGGCTTTTTCAGAATGGGTGTTTGTTTTCGATGTACAATAAAAGTATCTAGCAAGGTTCGTTGAATACATTGGTAGAGTATTGTTGGAATCCTGCTTATATTTTTCTCCTAACACAGTATTTTCCTTTGCCTTCTCCAAACCTTAACTTTCTCTTTTCCACCAGGTCTCTGTCCGTCAAGAACTCATAAATTTCCCGCCGCCAAAAACCTTTCCCCACCCCAACCGACCTCGCTCAGGGTCGCCTACGACCGATTCAACAGATCATTCCGGGTAGTCAACCGAGCTTCTTCATGTATATTTTAATGTTAGAAATCTAGAGTAAGGAGTAAGAGTGTTTAATAAATAATTTGTTAAGATTATTTCCTTTTAACTTCTATCTGGTTCTCCAACACAAATTTGGTGTTATAAGTGGGATATAGATCGACACTTGCGTTAGCAGTGGCATTTTTAAATACGCAGATTCAACCCTGTGCGTGAGTGGCAATTTTAATTGCGAAGCTGATTAGATTATCCGAGGAAGTCCTCAAACAAGAAGAAGCAGCACGGTAAGTATCTGAATTCTAGTATTCTTTCAATATCAAATATTTGCAAGGTCAATATTCAATCTCTATCCTAATCATTTGAATCAAAAGATCTAATCCTGTTGTTTGATAAGTTGTTCATAAGAATTCAATTTCAAAATGTCGCCTCCGACAACGTCTTCAGTGCAAGAAACGGAAAAACTCAGTTTAGAGTTCTTGGTTCGTCTAATTCCGGATAATTTTGACGGTGATAGATTAAAACTTCGGAGTTTCATTAAACAGATTGATGCCGTGTTTGAATTAGCCAAACCAGAGCAACACGCAGCGTTGCTATTATTCGTAAAAAGCCGCATCGTTGGTAAAGCCAGAGAACAAGTTGACGTTCACTGTAATTTAACCACTTGAGACGAAATATCGGGGTTATTAATGCGTTTATATCAAGATAAGAAATCAATTGATCAAATGTTTGAGGAATTGAGCAGCATCCGGCAGGAGCGTAACGAGAACGTCTCCCAATTTTATCAAAGGCTAGAAGATCTGTCTTCAAAAATTTTAGGAACGGTACATGTAAACAGTTCAAACGATAACACTTTAAGAGGGCGTTTAGCAATGATAGAAGAACTAACTTTGAATAGATTCATATACCATAGCCACCCTTCTATTTCACAAATGCTAAGATATCGACGATTCGACAAGATCAATGATGCTCTTACAGCCGCGGTTGCAGAAGAAAAAGCTCTCAGATTACAATACGATAATTCACAAACTCGCAGTTGTAGAATTTGTTTAAAGAGCAATCACACCACTAGAGATTGTTACCAAAATAAAAGTCGTAATAGTTCATTTCAAGCTCCACGTGCAGTTAATTATAGCAATCCTATTAGACCAGCAAATTCACAAGGTTACTATAAATCTAATGAACAATTTCGGAATACATCAGGGCCAGTTAATTATTCTAATCAACCCGTAAGATATCAACAAACACCTCGAAACAATCAAGTTCCAAATACTGCCATTAAACAATGTAATTATTGCAAAAATTTCGGTCACCTTATAAATGAATGTCGGAAAAGGCAATACAATAATAATCTTCGATGTCAGGGCTCATCGTCAACTGCTACTAACACTCCTGTTGTAAATAATAGGAATGTCCATTTTCAAAATCAGGATTTTCACAAGGTTCATCACGAGAACAATCCGCCCCCATGTACATTCCAATCCGAACCGACACATGTTCCAACGGTGGATCAAATCACTCAGAAATTCAACACTCTGTTGAAGAATAACAATACGTCCTACGAGGGAGATTTAGTTTATGTTTTATTCGAGTCCAATTCTTCAAAGTCTGAAGATAAAATTCTAAAATTTTTAATTGATTCTGGCGCTTCGGTCTATCTCATAAAAGCATCTAGCATTGAAGGGTTCAAAATTAAAAACTCAACAATTCTTTCATTAAACGGTATTTCACTTAATTCACCTATCAGCACTGTAGGAGAAACGGAAATAAAACTCAGAATTCATAATAAGGAAATTGACGTAAAATTCCAAGTGCTTTCAACAAATACTAACATACCGTTCGATAGTTTAATCGGTACTGATTTTTAATCAGTATTCTAATCTAACTATTTCAATTTCCCCAGTTCCATTTCCTGTACCGATTTATCTGAACGTTACACAACCTTCTACTTCGTTTATCTTATTAAAGCCTAGATCAGAAATAGTTGTCAAGCTAAATGTCTCAAATCCTTTAAAATTAACAGAAGGAATTATTGCATCACAAGAATTAGGCGATGGATCAGTATTAATTCCTAATGCAATTTTAAAGGTTGAAGGTCAGAATACTTGCATTATCACGGTCATAAGTACCTCATCCGAACTAAAACAAATTCCAATCCCTCAACTCTCACTTGAGCGAATGTCTAAACAAGTTCGAATTTTTAAATTAGCCCCAGGTCAAGGAAATAATCAATTGGAACAAAGATTAAAAGTATTGCATGAAAAACTTAACCTTGATCATTTAAATCCTGAGAAGCGCGATTCCATTGAAAATTTATGCAGAGAATTTAATGACATTTTTCATTTACCTACCTGTCAGTTCGAATTTACTAGAATGCCATTTGGGCTTAAAAATGGGCCTGCACGATTTCAGCGTTTAATGAATGTAGTTTTAACGGGATTAATAGGAACGCAATGTTTTGTTTATCTTGACGATATTGTTGTGTATGCCGCAGAGTTACAAGATCATAACCGAAAACTTAAAAACATATTTTCCAAACTTCGTGAGAACAATCTTAAATTGCAACCGGACAAATGTAACTTTCTGCAACACTCGTGCGAATTTTTAGGTCATGTAATTACGGATAAAGGCATTCAACCGAATCCAAGAAAGGTAGACGCAATCTCAAACATGCCGCGACTTCAAAATCAAAAACATATAAAAATGTTTTTAGGAATGACCGGGTATTATAGAAAATTTATTCCAAATTATTCTACTATCGCTAAACCTCCAACACAATTATTAAGGAAGGATATAAGTTTTGTGTGGTCAAACGAAGAGGAACAGCATTTTAAACTTTAAAAAATAAATTAATCGAAAAACCCATTTTGCAATATCCAAAATTCAAGGAACCTTTCGTTTTAACTACCGATGCATCAAATGTAGGAATCGGTGCTGTATTATTCCAAGTCAACGAAGGTCGTGATTTACCGGTTTCATACTATTCAAGATCCCGAAGAAACTATTCGACAATAGAAAAGGAGTTATTGGCGATCATAAATTCCGTGGAACATTTCCGTCCTTATTTGTATGGTCGAAAGTTTAAAATTTTCACCAACCATCGACCCTTACAATGGTTATTCAGTTGTAAAAATCCAACTTCTAAGTTAGTTCGATGGCGATTAAGACTAAGTGAATATGAATATGACATTAAATACAAGCCAGGTCATGTAAATTCCAATGCAGATAGTCTCCCTAGACTCGGTTCAAAAAATAATCAAGGTCAAGAATTCGTAAATTTAGTTACTACGTTAACTTACCAGGACTTCATTAAATTTCATTACACGAATCAAAACATAATAATTTACGAAAAAGACAATGGCCCCTTAGTCAAGATAACGGATCCTATCGTATTAATATGGTCACAAGACTTACAAGGGACCATACCGAAGTGTTAATGATCAATCTTGATGAAACTTGGTGGGTTTGTAGTTCTCATAAATTCATTCGACACATATTTTTTTTAGTTGCTATTATCCACATTAAGGGGTTGAAAACAACCCTCAAAGTTGTGGGTGCAGAACATACTTTGTTGAATATCTCGGAAACCATTAGAGATACAGGGTTGCCGTAAATTGATGAAATTTATGTTTTTGAACGACGATTTTGATGGTGTAAATAGATTTTCAAAATTCCCATTTGTTTAGATAATATGTTAAAAAAAATATTTTTTTTTTATTTTTCTCGTTAAATGTTATCTTATTTTGCTTCTCCATTTGCATAAGGAAACTACACATCTATGTACAAAATACGGATAAATTGGAATTTTTATGTTATGTCAGTAAAAAAAGATTTTATATTTATCATTTTTTCCATACTTCATGCCATACGAAGTGCCAGATCAAATATAATACAACTCATACTATGATTTAGTAATTTTTGTTCAAGTATATTGTAGTATGCTTTGCTTGGCTGGTCCCAAAATGTTACAAT